GACTGCTGAAGCTTGTCCACCCCTCTGTCTATTATTCCCTGATGCACCAATGATACTGTCAAGGGCAACTTGGAAAGTATCAAACAGAATTACAGTGCTCTAGGGATAGTGGTCATGGGTATGGGGGCCCAGGTCATTTTCTTCTCAATCCTGCCAGTGAGGAGGAAGGATAGCAGGAGGAGCAGACAGATACTTCAAGTAAGCAAGTGGCTGTGCAGCTGGTTTTAGCAACAGGGTTTTGGTTTCTATGACCATGGGACCCTGTATGAAGACTGACAACTATTTGGGAGAAATGGGATCCACCTCACTAAACGGGGCACACGTATTTTTGCCAATAGGTTGGCCAACCTGGTAAGGAGGGCTTTAAACTAGGAAAGATGGAGGAAGGGAAGAGTTATAGAGACCATGCAGTTAGCAAAACAGGGCTCAAGTGGGGATACCTCCAGCAATTGCAGGCAGCCAAGGAAGTACCTACAAGACAAGACTATGGGAAACCCTCTTATACCCCTTCTGGGAAATCAGCATGCTCGGCTACCTCTCAGAAGGGTCTGAAGTGCTTGTACACCAATACATGCAGATTGGGAAATAAACAGGATGAATTAGAGATGTGTGTACAGTTGCAGGGCTATGATCTCATTGTGATTACAGGGACATGATGAGATAGCTCGCATGACTGGAATGCTGCTACGGATGGCTACATGCTCTTTAAGGAAGGACATGCCAGGAAGGTCAGGAAGGGGAGTTGCCATTTATGTGAGAGAGCAACCTGAATGCATTGAGTTCTTCCTAGGGGTGGATGATGAGTGGGTCGAGAGCTTATGGGTAAGTATTAAGGGACAGACTAACATGGGTGACACTGTTGTAGGTATTTGCTACAGGCCAACCAATCAGGAAATAGATGACGCCTTCCTTCTACAGACAGCTGGAAGTAGCCTCATGATCACAGGCCCTGGTTCTCATGGGAGACTTTAACCACCCCGACATCTGCTGGAGGAACAACACAGCAAAGCACAAACAATCCAGGAGGTTCCTGGAGAGCACCAATGATAACTTTCTGACACAGCTGATGGAAGGGCTAATGAGGAGAGGTGCTCTCGTGGACCTTGTCCTTTCAGAGAAGGACAGGCTGGGTGGAGATGGGAAGGCAGGGGGCAAGCTTGGCTGCAGTGATCATGGGCTGGTGGAGTTCAGGATGCCGCGAGGAGGGAACACGGCAAAATCAGGGCCACAGCCCTGACCTTGTGGAGAGCAATCTCAGGTGTCTTCAGGGAGCTGCTTGGTCCCTGAAGAGTCGCAAGGGGTAGGGCCCTAGCAGGAAGAGGGAACCCCAGAAAACTGGTTGAAATTCAAGGATGCAAGCTGCAGAACAATCCCTGCCCAGGAGCAAGAAGTCAAGTCAAGGTAACAGGAGACCTGCATGGATGGACAAGGCACTGCTGGCCAACCCACCTCTGGAGCGCAGTGTCCACTTGTGGGCTCCCCAATGCAAGAGAGGCATGGAGCTACTGGAGTGACTCCAGCGAAGGGCTGCTAAGATGATGAAGGGACTGGAGCATCTCTCCTATGTGGACAGGCTGAGAGAGTTGGGCCTGTTCAGCCTGGAGAGGAGAAGGCTCACAGGGCATCTTATCAATGCGTACAAGTATCTGAAGGGAGGGTGTCAAGAGGATGGGGCCAGACTCTTCTTTGTGGTGCCCAGCGATAGGACAAGAGGCAACAGGTGCAAGCTGAAACACAGGCAGTTCTGTCCGAACGTAAGGGAAAACTTCTTTCCTGTGAGGGTGACTGAGCACTGGCACAGGTTGCCCAGGGAGGTTGTGGAGTCTTCTTCCTTGGAGATATTCAAAAGCCATGTGGACTTGATCCTGGGCAATGATGTGCTCTAGGTGACCCTGCTTGAGCAGGGGGCTTGGACTCAACAATCTCCAGAGGTCCCTTCCAACCTCAACCGTTCCGTGATTCTGTGATTCTGTGATACATGTGGAATAAAGATCTCACAAAAAATATCACTTCTACCTACAATCTTCCCTTCATTAATTCTTTAGGCAGTCTGGGTTACAACAACTCTGCTGGGAGAACCTAGATTTCTATGGCACATTTATTGACATGAAAGGAGATCAACTGAGGCAAAGGAAACCACATTGTTTGAACTTCTGCCAGCAGTAAAGTTGCCTACCTCTTCTCCTTCACAGAGATCACAGTCATCTCCACATGTGTTCTGAAGAATTATGTTGTTCTGACTTCGATTTTGTTTTCTGTTTTTATATCACAGAGTGCTTTACAGAGGTCAAACTGATTTCTTTATTGTTTGCCCTTTCTATTATTTCCATACAGAACAATAGCTTTTATAACTGAAATATATTTGCTATTGTATATTATGATTGTCCCACAGACCATGAACACTCCTTCAGCTGTGTTTCACAGTTCTTCCATTATCTGCTGGACCATTAAGCTACATTTGGAAGACCTATGAGATACATTGCATGCATATATACATATTCATATTCATACTCACATTTGGAATTGAAGTGGGTTTTTTTGCTTTATTTTGGGCTCACTGTTGCTACTGCTCCCTGAGAACAAAACAGTTTGCTATTAAACCCTTTGCACCCATTAAAAGTTCTTTTCTAAAGATTTCAGCTCTTCAGAGAAAATACTTCTGCTTTCGAGTCTTACCTCAACTAATTTTCTCACATGAACCATTCTTTATTTCCCCACTTCTTTTATTAGTAGAATAATAGCCCAAGTCCTGTTGTGACCTACTGATCTTCTATCTAGCGTAGCTCAGCTGTGTTTTGCATGTTCAGGAAGGAATATTTGTTGGAAGAGTTCTGGTCTATTACTACCCTCATAACAATAAATATATTAGCTGATAATTGCTAATGGTGTTTTTGATCTCTAAGGTTTTTGCATTCTTTGTTTTAGTTAATATCCCAGTATCTAGTTGCATGTGAGATGCAAAAGAATTTGAGCGTATTTTTAGCCTAACTTTAATCCAAGAGCCCTGAAGTACCGGTGGAAAATACCCGGTTACACAGAATACAACCCTTATATTTGCTCTCACTTCAATCAAAAAATGGAACTATTGAAACTGAAGTCTGACCTAATCCCATTAAATGATTTTTATGCTGTCAAAGGTCAAACTCCTGAAGGACACCAGTGGGTGGGTCAGAATTCAGACCATATAAATCCTAAGAACTCAGGCAGTCTGTCTACATACAGCTGGAAAGCTGTATTGCCTCTGGTGCTGAAGCTGAGAAGGTAAGCATTTCTCTACAAAAATTTACCTTCTCACTGTATTATTTCTTGCTTATACCTAAACTTAAAAAAAACCTAGTATTTATTCTGTTATGGTTGGTCTCTTCAAGGGAAGGATATTTAAATGATATCCTCTACACAAACTTCTTACCTCTATATATATAATGTGCTATAATATTTTACTATATGTAAAGCCTGGGTTTTTGTTTTCAGGAGACCTTTTTAAAGTTTAGTCTTTGTGTTTAAAATATGATTTTATTTTATAATAGCTTAACCTTTCATTCAGTACCTTTTAACTCTGATTTTGGCAGCAAAAGAATAGAAAATTGCTTGACTGACCTCCTGTTCAAAAGAGGGCACACAGAGCACAACTGCAACATTCAGTGACTGTGCTAGTTTTATTTTAGCGTGAAATATATCTAATTGCAACCCCAGAAAATACTGCTGCTGAACACTATACAAGATAAAAATGTGTGTGAGTATATAGATGTACATTCTACAGTAATCTATAAATGTAACTTGTATACAGAAAAGAGAGAAATGTGTGGGTGTGTGAGTGTATGCATACACTCTCATGTATGGTCATTAAAAAGCATAGTGGAGTTTAACACTACAAACACAAACTTGAGATCTCAGCATTAAGCATCTGGATAAGATACTGGATTTTGAAAGACAATAAACTTCCACAATTTCTATAAATCGCATGAAGAAAACTAAATTCATACTGAGCTTAACAGCTGCCCTTTATACAAGCATACTGGCCTCACAGGGCCTCACAGGGTTTGTACAGCCCAGGATTAACTTTGTAGCAGCCACAGGGAAAAACAAATGTAAAACTTATATTGGTCTATGCCATAAGAACATATTGATTTAACAGTGCTGTATTATGTTACACATCATTGCTGTTTTATCAGCTCTACATTTCTATTCTGTCTGAACTTTACTAACAAAATTGAACTTCTCAGAAAGGCCCTAGTGTAGTGTATATATATATATATATATATATATATATATACAGTTAAGCAAAGCAAGCTATATCTGAGAGCACAATGAAGTAGAATATGAATTATATTCATCAGTGCTTCCTATACACTAGAAAAATTATATTCCTTCTCCATGCTTCCACTACAAAAACGAGGATAAAGATACAAGCCTTTGAGATCTACAGACAGTAGGTACTGTGTAAGAAGTAGATATTTTACTGCACTTAATTCTTTTTTAGCAAATAAGAATAGTCAGCAATCCTCTTCTTTCACCTACATCTGTGCAAAACTAGAGCAAGCCTACTGATATTTATACTGTTGTTTCAGCATTGCCAGTATGTCAAAGACAGCTGATATTTTCTTGATTTGACCAAAGGTACTGCAAAGTATCAAGGAATTCCTGTTTTCACTGAATGAAAATAAGCGGGGGCAATTGTTTGACTATTTTTTAAAGTTAAACAGAAATCACGTACAGATTAAAGATCTCTGAAGAACTTTACTGCCAAAAAAGTAACAATACAAAAGCAGAAAGAAATAGATTTATGGATGCAGAGTTAATAATATGCATGGAAGGCGGGCATAGCAATAGGTGTGTTACAACAGAATGGCTTTAAATCTACCTGTTTATATTTCTTTGGCTAAGAACTAATATTTGTTTGAAGTGGTAGCTCACTACAGAATATCCTGCCTAAAATTATGTTTATACAGCATTCCATCATTACATTGTCGTTGTATGTCTGTTGTTTGCTCTAGGAACATTGATTTCACAATGGGCTCCATTGGCACAGCAAGCGCAGAGTTTTGCTTTGATGTGTTCAAAGAGCTGAAAGTCCACCACGTCAATGAGAACATCTTCTACTCCCCCCTGAGCATCATTTCAGCCCTGTCCATGGTCTACCTAGGTGCAAGAGAAAACACTAAGACTCAGATGGAGAAGGTAAGGCTACAGTTAAGGATTTAAACTTTGCTCCTGCTCAGCAGAGACATACATAGCACTTAATTATTCGAATATGTCCCTTAGAACTTGCATAGCTCAGTTAAAAAATCCAGGTCAAGAGTTATCTAAAGCTGAGTCCACCTCAAACTCCTAGTCCAGAATGTTAAGCAAATGCACCAGCCAGAAATCTTGATACTGATTTTAATTTGAAATTTATCATTGTTAGCAGGATTCCCATGGAGACAAGACATTCTGGACAGCCCTTTTTTTAAAGTAATAAAACTAGATAAAGTCTTCAAGGAAAGAGACAAAACATGTTTCCAGTCTGCAAAATGTATATGAGTTTCTTACAGTTCCCACTTCCTTCATGCAGAGTGGCTGGCTTGCTAGCTGAAAGAAAGTTAGTACTACTAATAGCACACACTAGAGCTGATTTGTGGATTTCACTGGTAAAGAGATCACCTAAGCTGAGAAAAGTAGCCACAGATATTCACAAATGGTACAGATAGATTCCAGCTTTTTAGTCATCTATGTTCTCATTCAGCCAATAACTTCAAATATCATTTGTCAATCTCAGTTGCATGTATATCTATTTTTTGTCATATCTGTCATTTCTGCTACTGGTATTTTCAATTACAGGTTATTCACTTTGATAAAATCACAGGACTTGGAGAGTCCATGGAATCTCAGGTACAGAAATAACTTCATCTCCTTGTCTATGTCACTTTTTCCTAGGAGAAAAATCTAGCAGATAAAGTAGTCTCCTAGTAGTTCCAGCACCTCCCTGTTAAGAAGCTAGTGCTCCGCATCCAGCAGTTGAGGGAACATTTTGTTCATAAGGATAGAAAAAGAAGGGAGGTAAGAGAGGATTCAGAACAATCAATCAGAAGAGTTAACCCGGGATCAAAATATTGGCCAAATAGGGAAAATTACAGATATTTGTGTGATTATGCAAGGTAGCTGGATAATGCTGGTTAGAAGTGACTAGTTGGAAAAGGAGGAAAGCCTACTTGATCTGCTGGAGCTAGGTTACTGTAGCTGATACTCAAGAGTCCCCAGAGAGAGGTATGAGGAAACAAGAGAAGAAAAACAGCACAGAATTGTATATATTGGGAAACAGCTATATCAATTTAATTATAACAACATGACATCTAGGATAAACAACAGTTATGTAACTAGTTACTCTTCTCACACAGTATGAAAAACCTACTAAGTACTAAAACTAGAGTAACATTATCTATCTTTTTATTTATATTCATCACAATGACTCAGTGCGGCACAGGTGTAAGCATCCACACTGCACTTAAAGACATGCTGTCCGAAATCACCAAACCAAGTGACAATTATTCACTCAGCCTTGCCAGTAGACTTTATGCTGAACAGACATATGCAATCCTGCCGGTGAGTTGCTCTAACATCTGATCTGAGTGTATTTCTATGCCAAAGCTATGTCATTCTATAATGCAAGAGCACTGTCAGAAGTCTAGGCTCTCTTAAGGAAATATTCTTCCAAAGAGAAGAGAGGATTCATGACTTCTCTCTATTTCTTCAGAGAAAATGTGTCTAGCTAAAAAGATGTTTGTGCAAAGCACAATCACAATCCACTCATGTCATGATGTAATTAGTAAAGGTAACTTTTGTTGGAAGGAGTTAACACCAACTACTTTCTAACTTATAAAACAAACCTGAAAATAACTTTATGCTCTCAAAAACCTTCCAGCTAACGCTTTCAAAACAAAATATCCAAGTTTTCCAATTGAAAGGAATGTTTCATTTGGAAATTAAAGCTAAAGGAAAATACAGTTTCAAAATGAAAAGTGGGCTTAATGAAATAAAACTCACTTCAACTGAAATGAATCAACATTTTTGGATCAAACTCAGTTCTGGAATACATTTTAAAAACTTTGAGGATATACTCTTTCTTGAAGCAAAAAATGTCAAACCTTGAAATTTTTATGAACTACAGTCATGGCTTATTGTTTAGCTTTAATGAATAGTTCCAGTAACAGAGCTACATTGAGCACACTGTAAGTATATTACACTACTAAATGCATTATGAAGTATAGTATGTAGTGTAATAGTGTAACATACTACAGTACAGTAGTATATTGTCCATATCCATTAATTTCAGTCTTGCATTTCACATTCACAAAACGCTCTGAAATTCTAATCTGATAACTGCATACTTTTACTTTACAGGAATACTTACAGTGTATTAAGGAACTGTATAAAGAAAGCTTGGAAACTGTCAGCTTTCAAACAGCTGCCGATCAAGCCAGAGAACTCATCAATTCCTGGATTGAAAGTCAGACAAATGGTAAGGGCAAGATAAGTGTTAGCAGCTTTTTTCCCCTCTGCCACCATATTTCAACAGTTTCCAAGAACCCTTAAGTTGGCAGAGAAAAACATAAAACCTCTATTTCTGTTCCTACTCCTGGATAATAGATCAGTTTCCAAATACAGAGCTACCATATAGCAATTTTCTCCCCAGATGCATTCTTTTTAGAGGAATCTCTATATCTGCAGGGGATTTCCACATATGTAATACTTCTAGTCTGGGTGAAAAGGACAACGCTAGAACATGCTTTGTATACAGTGACAACTGTTTTTTCCCTAATGCTGGAAATGCTGAATATCCCTCAGACAGTGCACATGCAGCATTGCCCTCAGGCTTCCCAGAGATGCCAGAATTGCTCTGTACCTGTTAAGTCAGATATGCAATTGTAAGGTACTCAAGAAATCTTAACAGGAAAATGGCAATGGAAAACCATAGAGTTCAGGAATGGTAGGGAGGTGTGTAAAATGCATAGAAAGAGGTTCCCGAACGGTGATTTTTCTCCTACTGCATCTGCATGTGGTTCTCCACTCTTTCTGTGCCCCCTCAAACTGTCCCTTTCCTCTGTGCCTGAAACACATGACCTAAGCAGCAAATATGGATAAAAGAAAAAGGTGCTTTCTAACTGAGATGAAAATACTCACAACCTCACAACTTCTGGTCTGGTATCACACTTTGAGGGAGAAAATCAGGCCATGATTAAGCTACTGGTGGGAGAAGAATAACTGTGGAGCTTGTTAATTTCATGAGGAATGCAGAAGAAACAGGAGCAAAGTAACAGAAGAAAGCTAAGCAGATGAAAAAGGGAAATTCTGTTTTCTTCTCCTACTGTCTTTTTTGTATAGATTTCGCCTTTCAATTTTGGTTTGAAACAGCTAGTACTTATGTTTACTGGTGCTGTTTGGGTTGGAGATCAACCTAGGATAATAGAGATTCCAGTGGTTCTTTCCTTAGTTCCAAATAGACTGATTTAATCATTTTGTAACAAGTAGATCTCTGGGTCCTATAGTTCTAATTACAGTCCTTTACAAAGAGGGAAACAACTCTTGCAAACAGCAATGAGTAAATCAACCTTGGAAGTACAAGATTACAGCTACAAAACAAAAACAACTGCTCTACCCCTGCTCTCCCCCTCCCCACCCATCCTATACCATTCATTTAGTCTTATGATTGCGAAGTAAGATATGTTATATTATTCTTTTCTCCTATTCTTTCTTAAAGGAGTGATCAAAAATTTCCTTCAGCCGGGCTCTGTTGACTCCCAGACTGAACTCGTCCTTGTTAATGCCATATACTTCAAAGGAATGTGGGAGAAAGCATTTAAGGATGAAGACACTCAAGAAGTGCCTTTCAGAATAACTGAAGTATGTGTATTTATCAAGAGAGTAGATACCTTTTTATACAGTTGCTACGCTAACATGTCTGCTAATCTAGCTACTTCTCTTCTGGGAACTGTAGTAATCCCATGGAGTTTTCCTAATGACTATCATCTCCTCACACTGTTTCTGACAGTAAAAATGCTCCAGAGGAAAAAACTGAGACATCAACTTCTCTTAGAAAACATCTTCCTGGCCAAGAGCAAACAGTACCTTTAACCACAGATAGGCATTTCTACACTCTAAGAATAACCTTTGTAAAGACTCATATCTTTTTGGTTTTCCAGCAAGAAAGCAGACCTGTGCAGATGATGTATCAGGCTGGTTCATTTAAAGTGGCAACAGTGGCTGCTGAGAAAATAAAGATCCTAGAGCTTCCATACGCCAGTGGAGAGCTGAGCATGCTCGTGCTGTTGCCTGATGACATCTCTGGCCTGGAGCAGGTGAGGCCCTAGCAGTGAGTTTCAGAGTACTGTACAAACACTGAAATTTAGTTTCTGTGGAGCCTTACACAAAAAGGTTATTTTAAACCATTTCATCCAGCACAGATTTGAACACTGGCAATAAGGGACTGTTGTATAGAAGCATACAACTGTCTCAATGGGGCCTGCAACAGTTTGTGCTGAGTATGGATGGACTGCTGAAGGAACTGCTTTAATGAGTTAAATGATAGAAATGATAGACACAGCAAAAAAGATTCTCCTCAGTAAAGTAGCTGTTACTCTTATGGCTTGTACTCCAAAGGTCTTGTGTGGCCATTGCTGCACATTGATGGAGCTTCCTAGGAAGTTCAACTTTACTGGTTGTAATTATTGTTTGGTGTGATAGTGCTCAACATTCTTTCTTCATACCCCCAAAAATTCAACTCTTTCCAAAGAGAAGGAGAACTGGATATGAGGCATGCTAGAATAGTTAAAGCTATTTCAGAAAATAAAAAGTACATAAAATACTATTTTTGATGTGGACAGAATACAGGCATGGGATACTGTCATTAGAAAGACTGTAGTTAACCTGGATAGGAAAAGCTATGCAATAAACAACACTTCATTGAAACATATGTACACTAATACAAAGAGTCCACATTAAAAAGTTGAGAAGGCATTTGAACACAGCTAAATTTCCATTAATTATCTCAAAAACATGCTTACTGAAGATTTTGCACAATTTTGGAAAAAAAAGAAAAAGCACAGAAAGAAAAAGAAAAAGCATATATAAGTAGGAGAACAAGCACTGTACATTATGATTAGAAAGACTAAAAAGGAAGAGGGTGGGTAAAACATAATCTGTGTGAATAAGAAAGAAAATATAAAAAGAAAGAATTACAGTTTGCTTTTATCTCCTAGATACATTAATCTATGCACCTCTAGAACAAACACCATGACAAGAGCAGTCATTTTAAAGAGAGAGAAAAAAAAAGAAGACAACAACATGGTAGCTGATGCTGCATTGCCACGAAGGAATTTATGTTCTTGTCCTGAGGATCTCATTCTCTTGTCTCTTTGCAGCTCGAGACTACAATCAGCTTTGAAAAACTAACTGAGTGGACCAGTTCTAACATGATGGAAGACAGGAACATGAAGGTGTACCTCCCTCGCATGAAGATTGAGGAAAAATATAATCTCACATCTGTCTTAATAGCTTTGGGTATGACTGATCTGTTCAGCCCAGCAGCCAATCTGTCTGGCATCTCTGCAGCAGAGAGCCTGAAGATGTCCGAGGCCATCCATGCAGCATATGTGGAAATCTATGAAGCAGATAGTGAGATTGTCAGCTCTGCAGGGGTTCAGGTGGAGGTTACAAGTGATTCGGAAGAGTTTAGGGTTGACCACCCGTTCCTCTTCTTGATCAAACACAACCCAACCAACAGCGTTCTCTTCTTTGGCAGGTGCATTTCCCCTTAAAGAGAAGAAAGCTGAAAGAGTTTCTGTCCTTCAGAGCAAGACCCACAGCACTGTAGTATCAAGCATAAAAAGAAAGGCATACTATCTGTTTCACCCATATTTTCTAAAAACTGAAAGCTGTATTAAAAAAATATTTATTTTGTTAAATCAGAGAATAATTATCCCATGAAATCCAGGACCACTTATCTTTCCTAAGTCAATGGAATCCCAAGGAAATCACGGTGAACACAAATGTTCCTCATGAAAGCTAACACTTCAGTGCTGATGCTGGATTATACTGAAAAATCATAATCCAATTTATCATCAGAAGTTTTGTGGTCCAAAATGCAGCTTTCCCATTTTCCAGGTTTCTCTAGGACCAAAATTTTTGGTGACTCCTCCAGAATTAGTTACTAGAAAGCTCTCAGATTAAGTTCTAAACTGTCACCAGCCATTCCTACTCCTACAAGGATACTGCTTTTTCTTTGTGCTCCTGATACTACAGGGCTCTGCCTCACTTTCCAAAGACGCATTATAGAAATCTTAGCATTCACTTCTCTCCTTAAACATTTTTGGCTCAATTGCAATGGCCAAATACGGAATACTACTCTTCAAATTGATTTCCATGTATACCTCTGCATCCAAATCTAATGGGTCTTGTGGATGTATTCTTTTGCTTCTTTAATCATAATAAAAACATTTTTAAGCAAACTTGTTTCCTTCATAGCATTCCAGTGCAGTACAGTCTTGCACCATAGAATCATTTTCTGCAACAGTATAGGCTTGAGATCCACCAGCTAGCAAGGAGCTTTGCAAAAAAAGTCTTCATAGTCCTGATGGATAAGAAGTTGAACAAGAATTTGCAGTGTGCCTTTGCAACAGTGAAGGTTAACCACATACTGGGCCGCATCAGCCAAAATAGCACAGCAAAGGAAGGAAGTGTTTTTTTTCCTTCTAAGCAGCACTTGTGAGATGTCACCTGGAGCACTGTATCGTTTTGGGTGCCCAATACAAGAGAGAGACTGAGCAAGTCCATAAGAGGGCCAGCCACAGAAACAGCCCAAGGTCTAGAGCACATATGCAGAGGCTGAGAGAACTGGACTTGTTCACGCAGAAGAGAAGGCTGAAGAGGGGATCTGACTGCTGTCTTATGTTGCCTAGCAGGGGCAGGGGGTTATAGAGAAGACAGAGACAGACTTTTCTTGAACGTGCACTGTGAAGAAGGCCAGGCGATGCCGAAAATGCAACAAAATAAATTCTGACTGGGTACCAACAAAACATTCATCTCAAGGAGGGTGGGTAAACACTGGAGCAAGTGCCCAGAGCAGCTGTGGAATCTCCATTTTTGGAGACAGTCAAAACTCTCCTGGACAAGGCCCTGAACAACACAATCTAGCTTGGAAGTTAGTTCTGCAAACTTCCACCTGGAGGCGCCAAGAGGCCTGCCTGTCCCTGCCTACCTCCCCTAGGGCCTCCCTCAACCCCTGCCCAGCCTCAGGATCCCATCTCAGCCCAGCCTGGGGCTTTAAGGCCCTACTCTGCAGTGCCACAGTGGTGCCAGGCTCCTGCTCTGCTACAGCCCTGTCCCTGCCCTCCTCCACCCCCAAACGCCCTGCTCCCTCGTCTGCCCATCCAGAACAAATTTCTGCCCCTCCTCCTTGTTGTACGACTCAGGCTGCCCGTTTCACCTAGGCTCACAGCATGAGCAGCTATCCAGCCTCTCAGCTTTAACCTGTCCAGGAAAGAACTTTCAAGGAAAGGGAGCTGTCCACCAAACAGACCCATGCTGCTGCGTGGACCAGGTATGCCAGTAATGTCTCCCTTCCTCCCAGTGCTTTCACCCTGACCACATCAAGGTATTTTGTGGAGCTGCAGGACATGGGGCTTTCTGTCAGCCTGGGGGAATTCCACCTGCTGGCTCTGCCCATTCTCCTCCAGTGGATCAGTCTTCTCCTTGCCACTGTTTCCTACAGTCCAGCATATGAACAAATGCTTTGTCCATATGTTGCTTTGCCAGTATGATACACACCTGGTGGAGCTTCAGGAGCTCCTGGGACTTCCCCTCTAGGCACCCATTCCTTTGCAGTTTTTTCTCTGAAGAGGATGTGCCCTCTGATTCCTGTAAAGGCTTACATTTTTGAATTAGTTACACCTACCTGATATTTTATACTGAATCGATATTGATAAGAGAGTAGCAACTCTAGCAACGGTTACTCTCTAAAAAAAAGGTGAGGACAAAAGAAGTGTTAGCTCAGTATTTACCCCTGCCTAATGCAGTCTATGTCTTTGTCTTTCCCTCCCCTGCCCTGCTAACAAGACAGGTGAACCCCCCTGCCCCATTCCCTTCACCCTAGAGGTGCCAGACAAATTTGGCTGCTGGGCTGAACACATCAGTCATACCCAAAGCTATTAAGACAGATGAGAGAGAGGCTTTCGGAGGGAGGCGGCGCTCAGCCCAGGCTCCCAACCGCTTCCCTCAGTTCCAGGCTGCGGAGGATGTGGCGGCGGATGCGGATGAGGTCCGCAAAGGTGTCCCCGTGGCCAGGGGAGGTCAGCGAGGAGCCTGCTGAGGGGCAACGCCACTAGTCAATTTTCTTTTATGAGATGTCTACTCAGCAAATTTCACACAAAGTTCTTTCTTACTTGTCTTCTCTGCTTGGGAAATATATTCCAAAATCATTTTGTGGTTTTGATTTAAATCCTCAGCTTTCTCCACGTTTCAGACCTCTGAATAGCCAACTGTTAATGCTAACTAATCACTAATGATTGAATTGCCAGTTGCTGCTAGATTTGGTACTAGTACTTTTATGAAAATTTGGCTTTTTGAAAATGGATGCCTTAATCATAAATATCCTCCCTTTTCAGTTACACTGAACCAGTCTAAGATGACTTGATTCAACGTTACCTTTGTCATATGAAAAAGAAAGTTTAAAATAGCATAGTCACTGTTGTATTGATGACCAGGCGAGCTGTGAAAACCCTTGTTAGTGATCACCATCCCTGTTCATCTTCTCTGCTTTTGAAATATATTCCAAAATCATTGGGGGCTGAGACCCTCTGCACATATGTGGCAATGTGGGGCGGATGTGCTGGGGGGGTGAGAAGTGGAGGATGAGCTGCTGCAGGGCCTGGCTGCTTCCCCTTCCCTGTTTCTTAGTCCTGCTGGGGCAGCGCTGAGGGAGAAGTGGTTGCAGGGCATGTGAGGCCCCTCCCTGCTAACCCAGTGCACACGATCCCCGCCATGGGGCTGGAGAGAGGAAGGTGACCACTGCAGGGGCCTTGCGGGG